GAAGTAATGTGAAGTAACTATGGCGGTATCATTGTGATATCTCAAGCAGTGCATCACAGGATGTGGACAACATGTTCGCGACGGCCACTGCCAAGGCTTGCGCGCTGCCAATTGAACATGCTCCCAAGGAAAAGGAGCCTTGCAGAAAGGGCAGGTGTCATCATTCACACACATGGCTGTAGCCCAAAACTCTCAGCAATTCGTTGTACACCTGAAGATCTCCTGCCAACATTTTCAGCATGCATCCGTCAACCATGGCAAAGTGGATTGCGAGGCAGCTTTACCATACCCAGGTCGCAGGAAAAATGGAACACTCTTGCCCATCAACCCCAAACATGAGATGAAAGTTGCTCCCATACCATGCCTGCACCTGCGCCAAGTGCCATTGCACATTCCATGGCGCCAGCAGCTGACAAACAAGGCAAAGTTTTAGTGTAGCACTTTGTGTTGAAAAGCCTTGCGCGATGCAGGTGTCAGAAACCTACTGTCAGATGAAGGACATTGTGCTGCAATTCTCTGTCATGCGGGCTTTAGGACGACTCACACGTATAAGATGGGTAGTGTACATATGGTACACATACTTCTAAAATGTCTTGTTGTTCTTTTCTTTTACAAGTAGATCTACCTTTTGTTGGTTCAATAGGGGAAACCTGGGCCCAGCTCGATGCTCGTGGCTCGTGGTCTCTTGCGTACTTAGATGCATCATGTTGTGCAAAACCATGTTCATGGACAATGCCAATACCATGCCAAACGAGCCTTTTCACGCTGATGTCGCCATGCTCTACTTGAGGCCACACACCGCTTGAAATCAGCGAGATCGAAATCGTGTCCGTTCTAATTGACAGGTGCAACAGAAACACACAAGGCAAAAGCCACCGCTTCTATATACCGACGAATTTGAACCGAGTTTGTGCTGCACTGACAGGTGAAACATCGAGACAAAGTTGGGCCTTGTAGTCACTGCTTTGAGTTGCCAACAACATCGTATGGAAATCGGCCATCTTGAAAAACAGCGGTTTTGTTCAGAAAAGATCTTGCGGAAGTAGCAAGTAAAGGAAAGCTTGTGTTGAAATCAGACTAATAGGCCACTTTGCTCGACTTTGCTCTTGCTAAAGCTCAAATTGGCTTTGCTTCTATGATCCTCAAGGATGACAGGCTTCTCACCAAATGCAATGCAACCACGCTCGGCCTGCAGTCTACTTCTTTTTTGGAGGGATTTTACAGAGTTCAAAACAAGGAGTGGTGACATCCAATAGGAGTGGTGACATCCAATACGAAGTCGCATTAGATCAGCCATCAAGCTGGCCTGCATTGGTGCGAAGCCTGCTACAGCACTGACCCTACAAAGAAACAAACATAAAAGAAACATACCCACATCCCAGAAAATCAGAAACAGGATGCAAAACCCTTGCCACTTTGATGACATCAAGCAACTTGCTACAGCTTTCCAAAATAGTATTATACAGTGTAGATAGATCTTTGTATTCTTCTGTTTGAGCAGTGTTCAGAAAAACGCTCCAAGGTGTAGACATTGCTGGTAATTAGTTACAATCGTATCTTGTTCCAGAGTCTTCAACCAAGGGTTTGCTTAACTTCAACAAAAGTGGTCTGCTAATATCATGTTTGATGCTGGTGACCTCATTGGCCAAAGATTCCATTTAGGCTGCGTCGGAGCATGCCCATCACAGGGCGGTCCTGGCAAGCGAGAGGTGCCTGTATTGGAAGTGACGAAAAAGAGTGTAACAATCCAGAAAGTAAAGGAAACAAGAAACGCTCTAAAACATCTAAAGAACAACAGAAAAGGTGTGAAGGTCTCAAAAAGGGAAGCAAGCAAGGAGGGAAGACATAGTAAAACACATAAATGGCTAAGGGTCCAAAGAGAAAAGGACAGGTGATGGCCTACCATGATGTAAACAAACCTAGAAAACCACTCATTGTCATTTGGTCTCGGAAGATAGGATCTCAACCATCCAACTCCATCATTCATAGGTGACCCTATCACTTAGAATTACTTTTGGTTTCACTCCTCGTCCTCCTCTCCTCTTCATATCGTTTCTTTTGCTCCTTTATTGTTTCTATTCGCTTCTTGTTTCCCTCCTTTCTGATCCAAAAGCTGTACTAAAAGGAGTGAAAAGAAACACCAATGACAGGTGAATTAAGTACCACACAATGGCAGCTGTCCTCACCCCTGGCACCCGGCTTCGCCGAAGGGCTTAGAGGTGTTGGGGGATCTTGCGCCCTCGGCAAGGAGCAAGAAGGCAACAGTGAAATGATTCCGGAGGCAACTAGTAGAGACGCCTTCTTGCTCCTAGTAGCTTCTTGCTAGTAGAAGCGATGGCCTCCACCCTAGTAGCGTCCTTGCTCCTAATAGTAATGGCCTCCAACCTAGTGGCTTCTAGTTACTAAGAAGCATCAAAGACATACTAGTAGCTTCATGTTGCTACAGGTGAAACGATTATCGGATAATGTAAATCCAACTAAGTCCACTTCTGTTCTTCATAGTTAATCTGCAATCTAGCTGTTTTGATCGCTCTTGAGATTTAAACGGACCGAAGTGCATACATCCGAGGCTTTGACCCATTTGCAGACATTCGAGGCAGTGCTGGCAAGTGGGAAATGTTTTCACCAGCCGAAAAAAAAAAGCAATGGCCTCCAACCTAAGAGCGATAGCCTCCACCCTAGAAGCAATGGTCTCCAACCAAAGAGCGATAGCCTCCACCCTAGAAGCAATGGCCTCTAACCCAAGAGCGATCGCCTCCACCCTAGAAGCAACGGCCTCCACCCTAGAAGCAATGGCCTCCAACCTAATGGTAACTCAAAATGACTGAAGAAACTGCTTCCTCATCTCAATGCTTGGGAATGCCCGTCTTGGCCCTCTCGGGCTTAGTGCTTCTCAACAGGAGACGAACCATGCTGGAATTTAGATTAGTAGAGTAGTTGAACAAATCAGGAGTATCGGCAAGTAGCCATGGCTGGCTGGCTAAAGTTGATCGACTCTCCTGCCTATCATCGGAGCACCATTGACCTATGACAGTGCAGGTCATTTGTGATGCACCAGTATGAAAGCTGACGATGCAGTGTCAAGCTGTGCACACTAATGGCTGCTGCTGGAGAGCCGCTGGGACCTCAAAAGAAAGCGACGTCAGACTGGAAGCCATGAGCAATGCTGGAGTCGCATTCTTATTGTTACTACTAGTAAGGCACTTGTTTCTAATAGCTTCTCGTTACTAGTAGTAAGGCACCTGTTACTACTAGCGATGCACTTGTTACTACAAGGCCTTCTTGTCGGAAGAAGTCGGTAATTGCACCCCTTCCGACAAAGGTGAGCCTACTTGCACGGAAGAATTTAGAAAGGTTTTCTAAACTCTCCGACCCTTGAAACCTAAGGTGGAAGCAAATTCCAAGCAGCGTTTTCTGGTTGCCAGTAAAAGCGTACAATAATCGAAACCAAAGACTTTCCAGTAGGACCGTCAAGAATGGCCCAAGTAGTTGATTGGATGAGCAGAAAGCTCTGCACAACAAATCGGTCCCAACAGCTTTGCCATTTGGTAGACCTCTAGACTTCTTTGCTCTTCAGTCTGAGGATCCAACTTCCACCCTGTCGCTTGGCTCCAACCAATCGGTCACCTTGTCCGACATCTTCCTGTCTTTCCGCCTCAAACCGAAGTTGAGTTCTCCAAATCCGACATGTACGGCTCATAGCTACACTACTCAGGCCTTGCTTGAACAAGTCTTGCTTGAACAAGATTTTAAGAAGGAGGTTGGGAGCGCCTGTCGAAGATCCCGAAGGCTTAAATCAGCCATCTTCTTCTCGAGGTCTGTTGTCAGACTTGCCTCAGAATGACACCGCACAATAACTCCTAACCAAAGGGTGAAATGAAGAGCGAACTCGGTCAAAATTTTGCATCCTTGAACAAGAAGCTAGTAGTAACAAGTGCCTTACTAGTAGTAACAAGAAGCTTCTAGTAACAATTGCATCGGTCAAATTTTTGCATCCTTGATGTGTTTTACAAGTCAATGTGAAACAAGAAGGTCCTTTTTCCGACCCTTCATGATTCCTTCGACCTTTCGGCTCCTCATTTTCATAAAGACAAGTTCTTATTGTTACTACTAGTAAGGCACTTGTTTCTAATAGCAAACATTGTTACTACTAGCGATGCACTTGTTACTACTAGCTCCTCTTTACCTTTTTTCTTGTCTTTTTAGAAACTTCTCCTTCGACATGTAGAGAATGCTTATTCTCGTTCTGTCCTCTTGACACTTCACTCATGGTGCGAACGTTGCTATGCTCAGGTCTCTGACTTTACTACTCCTGATTGCCCTTTTCACTTTTTTCATTTTGTTATTCTTTGTTTCTATTCTTCTTTCAGACATGTCTTGTTCTTTTCCGTCTTTCTTCCTTCCTTCCTTTCCTTGATTACTTACGAGATCACTCTTTTGGCGAACATAAGTTTTCACTCTAGGATCGCCTTCCTGAACATAGCTGACCCTTGCGACAATTATGTTTTCTTGTTTTTTACTTCTTTAAAAGCTCGCCTACTTAATTAAGTAATGGCGACTGGTTCGCTTCTAGTAATTGGACGCAGGATAGCTCACGCTTCTTCAAGGAAGCTCCGAAGGCTTCTTTGAAGAAGCGATCACACTAATGATTGGCTAGGGGCTCCTGGCCTTACTAGGAGCAAGGACGCTACTAGGGGCTCCTGGCCATACTACTAGTAACAAGAAGCTTGCAAGTGACTTCTGTTGTTTGTCAATCTGGCCATGATTAAGTCGCCCTGCAGATGGCCCCCTCGCCGCTTCTCCAGCCTCTTTTCACACTTAACGAACCCGAATTTCTTCCCTTCCTCTACAAACAAGAATGTATTCAAGAGATTGGCCTTTCTTCAATGTCTTCCAGAGAACGGTATAGCACAACTCAGGACACTATCTAAATCTACACCAAGACAGATCACTCATCTCTCTAGCGAAGAGCTCAGGCCTGCCACATGTCTTGCTGCATGTCACAGAGGAACTGTTGCTGGGGGGCCCAAGATACTACCTGGACGGCATATCCTGTTCCACCTCGGTCGAAGAGCACATTGACTGTATTTTGCTCGTCCAAACTATCTGAGCTGATGGCCCAATCCAGGCTCGGGCAGGAAATTGGTAGTGCTTCATAGCCTTGAACATACGCAACAACAAACACTCACTTCTAACCACGCGAAAATGTGTGACAATGTGTCCTACATCTGTGAGAACTGAAACAAGTGACGACGATCAAACATGTTTAGAACATTCATTTCAATGCCAAAAGCCAGTGGAAGGAATGGAGGTGTGATACTCTCCACGTTCAACTCCTTGTTTCTTTTTGCAATGCATCTGTGCCACCGCACATAAAGGCCAATCAATGATCCTGTGCGTCCCAAGCCTGCCTGAAGAGCACAATCGGAAGCATGGAGAAACGAGACATCATCATGTTGCACAGTGCAATTGTTTTGCAAGGTCTAAGAACAGAGTTCTCTTGCAAACGATCATTCATAATATTGCAAGATATAGCAAGGCACTAGTTGGCAAGAAACTGTCATCCAACACCAAAGTGCGCAATGCAGTTGCATTTGTTATTTGATCTCGGATCAGCAAGTGCCACACCTTGCAGTGGACAGCGACTGCACTGGGCTCATTCTCGACAATGAGAAGGAATTTGGAGATGATCTGAGAGGGCATTAGGAACAAGAAAGAAGCTACTAGGGGCTCCTGGCATCGCTACTAGGAGCGATCGGACGCTACTAGGGGCTCCTGGCCTTACTACTAGGAACAAGAACGCTACGAACGTAACAACTCGAGACCGCCGGTAGTGCGAAGACTCCCACGATTACTTACAGCCGCCATGAGCATGACGAACTGTCAAGCAAAACACTCAGCGACGAACTGTCAAGCTCCGCCTGCCTCCTTATCTGGACAGCTGCCGTCCAAAAAGTAGAGATCAACATGCTTCAAGCCATGGTCTGCAAATCGCCGCCGATCGTACCTGTCAGATGTAAACATGCACTCAAGAATACCCTGGAGCAACTCTGCTAGCTGCGTTTGCTAAAGATCTGCGAGGGCACTGTTTCTTGTTCAACCGCACTACAAGGCCTATTCCCGCGTCGCGGAAGATTGGCACATAGTCCTGCGTTCCAGAAACACCGTGAAACACCTATGGACTCCAGCTTTGAAATGTACTATATAGTAGTAAACCACCGATCAAAGTTCTTTCTTCTCCCCTTTGCTCTTTGAAGCTTTTCCATTTTTTCTGTGAGTGGTGAGGATCGTAGCACAGTGCTCGACCAGCCAATGGTGCTCCTCTGGAGTAAACGCAGGAAACCTCTGGAACGGTACGCTGCAAAAAGCACGACGCGAGAAGAATAGAACTGCCTGAGAATGTGTCTTCAAAGCCAGCTTACAGTGCTATAGGCTATTTCAAGGTATTCAGCGTCCTGATGACAATCATGAATTGTTCTGTCAAGGTATTCTGCTCAAACAGTGTGAAGTAGTATGCGACAACCACTCAAGGGTGTGCACTCTTTGTTCCCGGCCCATCGGCATCTGTAGAAGTCGGGCTAGGCCCTGCAAATGCCAAGAACTTGTCAGGAATGATCCAGTTCATGTCCCCGTTCTCGACCTGCGTGCTCCAGAGATCAACATATAAAACATCATCAAACACATTTGCACCAACAACAAACTCGACGCTGGAATGTGTGAACCAACTCAGGTGTGAAGCACTGTGAAAATGCCTTCGCGCTGTCAAAAGCGGTAGGAGTTTTTAAGTACAAACAAGAAAGTCCTCTTGAGCACCCCCTCTATCAGGATTCTTCTGCAAGAATTTCCACATTTCTTGCCACAAATACTGTAAGAAAGATATTATTGCTTTTGCTCCCCGCAGCCCCCAATGCGTGGACGCAGCTCCCCAACTGGTCACATCGCGTCTGCACAACTGAAGGCTGGAAAAAACAACCATCAAGTCTTCTTGTTACTACTAGTAACAAGTGCCACGCTAGTAGTAACAATGTTTGCTATTAGAATTAAATTAAGTGAAGACAAGTTGCATAGGTTCTGAAATGAGTTAACACTAACAAACCAATTGGCTGAGAAGGTCAGCTGTGCTGCGTTCGTGACTATGTACAGTGCCCAATATCGTGGGGTGCATCCCCAGCGACAGAAGCTTTCCATGGAAACTCCAGCAAAAGCGGCAACGTATTTCCAGCCATCAAGCTTTCTTTATATCAAGCATCTCAACATGTTCTTGAGGAAAGCTGGATGATAAACAATTGTTTTGTTATCAGTGTCAAGCTTTTCATGTTTGGCCTTGACCATTGCTATTAGGTTGGAGGCCATCGCTATTAGGAGCAAGGACGCTACTAGGGGCTCCTGGCCATACTACTAGGAGCAAGGACGCTACTAGGGGTTCCTGGCATCGCTATTAGGAACAAGAAGCTGCTAGGAGATATCGCTACAATTCTCGGAGGCGGTTGACCTCGATTCACCCATCACAGCCATGGCTGCCAGCCTCGGAGCACCAAAGATGCAGTTGCGACCGTTGCGACTGCATGCGGCCGCTGACTGAGCACGCGCCTACGTACATCTCGCTGAGGTTCCTCTTGCAGGTGGCCGCCTTGTTTCCAAGTTTGCAGCTGTGGAGGCCATCGCTTCCTAGGGGCTCCTGGCCTTACTACTAGGAGCAAGGAGCAAGGACGCTACTAGGTTGGAGGCCATCGCTACAGGTTCAAACTGCGGACATCTCTCGTTGGGTTGCAACCTGAAGGAATGCGAGTGTAAGTCATTAACTGATGCTTGGGGCTGTTCCTCCCAAGTCGCAATTATTGGAACAAAATTCCTGATACAATGATTTCAACATCTTCACTACGGAAAAGAAGCTACTAGGGTTAGCAGAGCAGTGTGCAGTGCAGTTCAACGTGGAACATGTCGCCCATCCCTAAAGCAATGCATTGGAGACTCTACAAAAGTGAAAAGTGGACGCTACTAGGAGCAAACGGCATCGCTACTAGGAGCAAGAAAGCTACTAAGGGCTCCTGGCCATACTACTAGGAGCTTTTTCGCGCGCCTTTGTGCGCGCGGGGGGGGGAGAGGAGGCCATCTCTCTTAGGGGAGGAGAGCAAAAAACGTCTTTCAGCGCTGCAAAGCCCGAAAGGCGATCAGTCCGAGGTTTTGCCACACGAGAAGCTAGTAGTAACAGGTGCATCGCTAGTAGTAACAAGTGCCTTACTAGTAGTAACAAGAAGCTAGTAGTAACAAGTGCCTTACTAGTAGTAACAAGAAGCTACTAGGAACAAGTGAAGAAATTTCTGAAAATCGAACGGTAAATACTAAGCTGAAGTAAATACTAGCAACCCAAGAGCGATGGCCTCCAACCTACCAGGGATGGCCTCTAGTCATACTTTTCTGGACGAAGGGTTGAACTACATTCTTTGGCTAGCTACCCAAGCGGGGGAGGCTGACCACGGGAGTCGATTTTTGTAGTTGGTAGTTGGAACATGTTTCTGCCTTTGGTGGCGTGAATCCTGCAAGGGCAAATTGATGGCCCTATGTTCCGCTTGAAACTATATCTTCCGAAATGTAAGTAAGCTGGCAGGTTTTCTGCCCCAAAGACTCCCTCCAACTAAACGACATAATCTGTAGCGCTATCCCTTTCTCAGGCACAAAGAATAGCTGTTTATTGGCTGCGTTGATCACGTATGTTGAATCCTTTTCTTTACTGGCTGGTCAAACGCCTCATCATTGTCTGTTTGCACCAGAATTGTTGTAGTGCCAAATCCATCGTTTCTTGTGATGAAAGCAATCACTAAAAAGGACTCTTGTTGTCTTGGCAAAATTAGTTCTTATTATGATCCAAGCTATTTACTGAACTCGGTCGGCCCCAGAATGCATTTGCCACACTGTTCACAACAGCCCCCGGTCTGCTTACCAACTTTACTGCTGATTCTGAAACTGCACCAAGTATTCTAGAAAACTACTTAATAGCACCACCTGGATTAAGGCCAACGTTTGCCATGTCTAAATAATAGTATGATTAAAAAACAACAAAACGACCATCCCATGCAATAATGTCCACGCCTTTCATGTTTTTATTACTATTTTCTATTTCTCCCCCCTAAGACTACCATTTCTAAAAAACACCTTTTTGGTGTCGGGCTGGGCACGCACAGACCTGCACTCCATGCAAAGCTCTAAACAAACTTTGGGAAGTTTGAGTTTTAAGTCCCTATGGGATAGATTCCTATTGATGTCCGTTTAAATCCCTTTTCGATTTTTTGTTGATGCCCTTTCACAAACCTTTTGATGTCAACGGATTTCCTTTTGAGTTTGAATACAATTTCCATGCATTCTTCTGGCTTCTTGTCTGGCATGCTTTGCTGTCTAGTTCCGACCCATAGCCTCCTAACAAACAAGAACAAGTCCCTTCACTTTGACAGGGCTCACCTAACACAAAAGCAACTGAAACATAGCTGATGACTGAACATCACGGATCAGGTTTCCAGGTAAGAATAAGTGTGGAATGTCACCGTGAAGCCTACAGCTCACACGATGCCATTCTGACTGTTGTGGGCAAGACCAGAAACCAGGACAAGTGATGTGCAGTCCAGCGATGAACAAGTGCATGAATCATCCGTAATGCAATGATGTATAGTTTTCAATGCTGTCAAATGCTAGTTGTCCACTCCGTAGCGGACTTCTCATGATTTCTTAACTGTTCAGGACTTCCGGTTTATGGACTGCTATTCTTTCTCACTCTTTTTCGGACTAGTAACAGGTGCCTTACTAGTAGTAACAGGTGCCTTACTAGTAGTA